TACTCGAGAAGAGATACTAAAAATCCTATGACGACGGTGCTCCACAAATGGAAACATCGGTAATCACATATGATACATTTCTAGTATCCGATCTCATATAGCTATCAGATACTAGATAACTAAGGGAACTCTGTAATCACATAACATCATTAAAATTCCCATTAAGCTATTGAACGATCTCTTAATCTCACAAAACATTCAAGTATATCATAGAGAGAAACCCGATAATCACATAGCCTCGGTATAATTCATTCTCAACTGAAGCATTGGCTCGGCCTCACATAGTAATCAAGCCAAACTTTAAGGATATTTTTTGTACTATATTGATAAAACTACATATGAATATCTAAGTGCCCAAAGGTCACACATCACTAACAATGTCCCATTAGGACAACTAAGGTAGCCTAGCTACACACTAGCATAACTCGTCACACTTAAGTGAGGTCATCCCTCACTAGCTGATAATATCGCACTCATTCTCTAATCTAAAATGTTGCAAGGGTTTATTAGTCTTTCACATCTATTAGTTCATTAAGTTCCTCTATTTTAGTCATTTAACACTCGAGGCTTTTTAGTCATTTTTATCTCTAAGGAGGTTTCTATGCATTTTATGATTTTACTATAATTATTGTTTTTGTTTTAAACTTCTTGTATTATTTACCAACTCGACTTGGGTTCATTTCAAGGATTGCCCAACATGGCTCGCTTAACTTTTTGTTGCTTTGTACAAAAGAATCAAGTTTTCAGCAAAGAATAAATGGGATAAGTGAGGTCCCCCATAGGGGAGGATAATCGATTTCCAAAGGTCGACGTCCCAGGCACAGTGAAAGCTTTGACCCAGACATTCTATGCAAAGAACAAAGAGGTAGCGGAGAGTGGACACCCTTGGAGAGTACCTCTATTAGGGTTGAATTGATCCGAGAGAGAGTCATTCCAGAAAATTTAAAAAGAAAAATAAGTGACTGGGTCCATGAATACGATGAATATTCTTCGGATACCCCATATCCGAAATGTAATCAGAGAGGAAACCGTACCCAACTCCATCGTAGGCCTTCCCAAGATTAACTTCCAAAGTCATCCATTTAGTTTTCCCTAATTTCTTCTCTCTTATAGAGTAAATGACCTCCTGCACTATTTAAATGTTGTTTGTAGTGTTCTGACTGGAAATAAAGCTAGATTGAATGAGGGCGGAATTTTAGAAAAAAATACCTTTGAACTTATTAGCTATAACTTTCGTCACCAGTTTGTAAAGAACAGTACACAAACTGATTGACCTGAAGTCAGAGAAAGATTTAGGACTGTTGACTTTTGGGATCAGAACCAAAATAGCCTTATTAAGCTCTGGCTTCATCGGTTTACCATCAAAGATATCCTTAACCTAGTTGCATACCGAATTATCCATTGTATCCCTCTGGCTTTGAATAAAAAGAGCATGGAGTCCATCTTTACCCGAAGACTTGAGCAAATTGATATCAAAAGGAGCACGTTTGATTTTCTTATCAGACACTTTGGCTTTAAAGAGCTGAAAATACATAGTCGAGAAATGATAAAAACACTCTTTGCAAGTTTTCTTCCTAGAGAGAGCACGTTTGTAACAAAAATTCGTATTTCGGTCACCCTTTTCCAACCAGGTGTTTCTTGACTTCTGTTTCCATAATAATTCTTTACGACCAAGGATTTCCTTCAAATTGGTTTGCAAGTCAATATCCACAGCTTGAAGGTTTTCATTAGCATTCTTGTCCATCATCGCTTGAACATAGGATATTTGCTTTGAGTTTTTTTATTTCCTTTTTGAGTTTTTTCTTCTCTTGAATAATATGGCCGAAGACATCATTGTTCCAATATCTAAGAGCCTCAGTGAAATTATTAATAGCAATATGCATATTGCACTCGGCATACCAATTATCTCTGACAAAGGATTTGAACTTATGATGCTTTGTCCAACCTGCAAGAAAAGAAACGGTCTCGACACAGATCTGTTCGACATGTTTGAGGAACGAAGTAGAATATGTCTATGATCTGATTTTAAGCAGGGAAGATCATAAACAGTTGCAATAGGAGCTATTATGTTCCGATTGTCATTGGCGACCATTCTGTCCAAGCGTTAAAAGGTCCTTCCACGATTCCAAGTAAAACGATTTCATTTAAAGAAAAGATTCATAAGATTGTGTTGGTGTAAGAACTCTTGAAAAATGTCTACACCTCATTCCTCTACGATTACCTCCTGCCTTGTCTGAGCTTGAGAGAATGGCATTAAAGTCCCCACCTAAAATCCAGGGGATGCCGTTACCAATTTGAATGCCACTAAGATCCCATCAAAGAGCTTTGTGTTTATACCTGTCAGGACTACCATAGACAATGGTTACCAAAATGGGAGAAAGACCATTTGTACCAGTAACTTTTGTATGGATATATTGCGGATGAGTTGCCAAAACGTTAACCAAAATAGAAGAATTCCAAAAGATCCAGATTCCTCCTAAGAATCCAATGGTCTTCACCTTGGAAGAGAACTCAAAACAGAGCTTTACGATAATCTTGTTAGCTTTGCACCCGCGGTGAACACTAAAGAAGTTTGATGGTTCAAGGGGGGTATCCGACGAAAGGGAGCTCAAATGGGAAGTAACCACCTTGTGTAAGTTGGGATCAAGGGTCGTCTGAAGAACCTGCCCTTTTACACCTAGAGAGTTTTCAGTAGGTACAGTATGATCATTTCCAGAGAGTCGTGGAGGTGGCAGCTTGAAGAGGTACATTAACGTCGAGTACATGCATGGATTTCCATGTGGGCCTAAGTATGGGGAACGGTTTTCCACAGGTCTATGTCCTGTTATTTGGACTTTCTTGGGACCTACCTCACGAGTTGGTTTATTTGTTTGCCTCTTGGTCTCTGTGAATGGTAAGTTGTGTTAGCAATTTGTGGTCTTGGGGTGAGCGTGATTTTTGCCTCAGGTTTTGGTCGTCGGTTTACCAATAGAAAGGGGAGGTACGGCTAGCTCATAGGGGATCTCTTTATTTTTAGAATAGATTATGAGAGCAACATCTTCACTATTCTCTCCTAGCTTTTTCTCTCTTGGAGATTGCTTTGACTTTCCTTTGAAAGTGAGATCCTCATTCGACGCCTATAATCGGGAGCTGAAATTGGTGGTATCTTTGCTAGTTTCCATTTTTCTCTGTTCCAACAAGTGGTTGCCGGTGTCATTTCTTAACAATCATTCAAGGACTGTACAATTCTTCCTTCACCGGTTTAGAGTTGTTAGTGGTCAAGTTTGTCTGTATGCTTCTACTGGAATTGGCAACATGAGGATTCAAGTTTTGGTCTATAGTCATGTTATCTCTGTCGTTTTGTTCTAGGCTGGAGAAGGAACAAGTTTCCTTCATATGACCAAATCTCCAACATGAAAAGCAAATGAGTGGGAGGTTTTCATATTCAATAATTTGGATTTTGTTTCTAATGACCACTCGAGACACGAAGGGTTGCTTCAAGTTCACGTACACAACCAATCGGGCAAATCGTCTTCTATTGCAGGTATTTTTATGGAAGTCTAATTTCACCACCTACCCCACTAGCTTGCCAATGCCCATCAAAATTAAATTCTTATACTTATACTCGGGGAGCAGCCTATTACCCTACCTCCCCCTTACCCCATTACATATGGGAATAGAGTCAGCTAATTTTTTATACTCGGGGAGTCTTGAAAATCGGATCCAAGCGATGACCGTAGTGGGGTAGGGTTGGGAAGTACTAAAATCCATTGTCCATGGTTGGACTGCCAGATATTGGCCATATATGATCCAAAGTCCTTCAGCCAGAACCTTTCTCTAGTCTTCATCCAGTTGAAACCTTGCTAAGAAATAATCATTCTTGAGATCCATGAGCGTAAATGGTTGAGCGAGAGCGCATAAGCTTTATTTGTAAGAGCATTCAAGCCAATATTTCATCCTGGAAGCTTCAGCACAACTATTCTGGTCATACTGGCTTCCATTTGCTTGTACGCTCGATCTGAGAACTAGATAGATGGGAGCCCAAAACGAGTTCAAGTTATGATGTCTTCGTTTGTGATATCAATGTCCTCTTCATCCTCCTCTTGGGCTTCACCATTTTCAGAGACGCGGCTCGGCTTACCAGCTAGGATCGATGCGTATGTCTGTGAAACAACCTCTTGGCTATCAATTAATATCTGAATCCTGATTGATCTCATCCTATGTTCTTTAAAACACGTATTTATTGATGATGTATAAAATTAGCAATATTTAATCATCTAATTTATTTATTTACTTATTGATTATGTATAAAATTATACACGATCAACACGTATTTATCTCCGCTACATATTGTAGGAGGTTTAACCTTTTGTACACTTAAGAAGAATCTGCTTAGGGAATTGCTTTTTGAAACACTAACAAAAGTAGCTCTCATAGTGATCCATTTGAGAACTGAGAATCATAATTTAACTTCATAAATTTGTTCAAAAAAATATGTTCTGATTCTATTTGTCTTAAAAAGAGTAAATGCACATAAGAATTACAAATTAAGGGTACATAAAATGAAGATATGTTTATGTTATAAAGATACCCATCTCACTGTTAAGGCAATCAGTATATTGTTCATCATCTTCCTCTAGCAGAGAACGCAACCAGCTGGTTCATCCTGAACATATTTACCGCCACTGTAGTAATCGGGCACTGTAGCGTAGTTATATATGGGCATTTGAGGATGATATACCATCGGATAGGGGTAAGCTGAAGGTGCTTTTGGGGCATCTTTCTTACTTTCTTCTACTTTCTTGGGCTCCTCTTTCTTTGGCTCTTCTTTCTTTTTCTCTGGTTCTTTTGCTGGTCCAACCGAAACTATCTCAGCATGACAAAGCTTCCTTAATTTGCTCACTGCCTTCACTGGATCAATGTCTCCTATCACTGTCAATTTTTGGTCTTTCGTGTCGAAGGAAACTGATTCAACCCCTGCAACATTAAGCGTATGCAAGTTAGTTTTGAAAAATATTAAGTGAAAGAAACTAGGACCGAATATACAGACCTGAAAGGCCAGAGGCTGTTTTCATGGCCTTTTGTCTGCATTTGTTGTCGTGCAAATCCAATTTCAGCACAACTTTCTGTCAAAAAAAACAAAACCAGTTGTCGTTAGCTTTCATGCTTTTCTATGTTTATGTGCGTGTTGAAAAGCAAAGAGAAAGGCAAAGATGGAAATCTAACCTTCATTTTCTAGCTTTGAGAATGGAAATGAGTGATTAATAACAAAGAAGTGTGTAGGCAACTCTTGATTGCTTCAACTTCGATTGGAGGGTACACACGTATTTATGGTGAGCCAGGTCAGAAAATAAAGTGAGCGTTTGGTTCGTGGAAGACACGGCAGAACTGTAGATGACGTCGTTCCAAACCCATTTTTGAAAAGTAGATGTTCCAAGTGAAGGAGGAGAAAAGTAGTCAGAATTATAATAATTGTTTTAATCCAAGAAATTTCTTGAAACCATCCAGCTTAGGAGACTCAACGCGCTATTGTTTCTGGTCAATGGATTTCAATATGTAGGGCGAAGCACAGTGAAGCGCATGTGGCATGGTTTTCTAGGAGTAGTTCATGTTTCCTTCTATGCCAGCCTTGGTGGTGATTGGTTATCTCTCTTTGTTAATCATTTGTTAGAAAGGAAGAACTTGAATTTTGGTGGGTGATTGGTCAAAACCTGAAATACTAGTCTTTATGAATATTCTCGCCTGCTTTAATGATATCACCAAAGGAGAATTTTATTCAAACCTCTCTGTTCTGGGCTTATTTGAATCAAATGGCTGAACCATATTTTGGAAAATAAAATTTACAATATTTATAAATTTAGTTAATTAATTATTAAACCCTTAAATTAATTGAATCGAAAATTGATAATCTCACCGATTTTACCATCAATCTCATTGTTTCACCATTGGTTAAAACTTTTGTTAAGGAGAAATTTAAGGAATTCGCATTTATATTTTCAAAACATCACGTGTGATATTTTAAAACCTCCATGAGGATATTTTCAAACTTCCCATTGTTGAATTTTCACATGAATTTTTCTTTAAAGCACTAAACAATATTGTTTTCAAAAATTTCACACAACTTATTTTCAAAACCTCTCATTAGATTATTTTCTTCCAAATCTGCTAATGAAATTTGTTGTTGTTTTTACTTTCTAGCGTTCTTATTTGTACGATGTAGGAGGTTATTTGTATTTAATAATTAGATTTATTAAATTATTTTGTATGAAGTTTTGGGCAAATTAAGAAATTGTGTTGAGTCAACCGAAAGGATGAAATAGCCAAGAGGGGATGAATTAGCAATAAAAAAATTTGGTGGAAGCTTAAGAGAAAAAATTAAACAAATGAATACAAGAATTTAGAGTGGTTCGACTTTATCAACCAAAGTCTACATCCACTACCTTAGCTATCCACACTAAGGATTTCCACAAATTCACTAACTTGTATCTACCTTTGAGGATAAGGTGTAACCTTACAACTCCCTCAAGAATTATACCCCAAATTCTTAAGACAATTTCTTAAAGAGAAAATTACAAATTGCAAACTTATAAAATTCTCACTAGGAATGTGTTTGCACAATTCAAGAACAAATAAGAACACTTGAGAAATGAATACAAATGAGTACAGGTAGTGTTCTTTGAAAGCAAAAAGAATATTCAAGAATGTTGACTTGATTTGGCTCAAATTTGTTGTTTATGACTTTCTCTTTTGTCTCTTATATTCACAAATGACTTGGGATCATGTTTATATACTCCCTCAATCAATTCCAACCGTTTGAGTTGTTGTGGGAGTGAATAGAGCCGTTGGGGGCAGTTTCCCGCATTAAATGCTGCCCAGAAGCTTGTAGTATCGGTACTCCGTCTATCAGCATCGATACTCCCTACATTAAATACAAAAGTTTGACCGTTGGGAACCTCCGGTATCGATACTGTCACAAGGGTATTAGTACTATTATATTCAGTATTATCGATATTGTACATAGTATTATTACCATTTTAGTAAACTGGAATTTAACGGACTCAAAACCAAAAAGGTAGTATCGATACCATCACTAAGAGTATCAGTACCATCACTAAGAGTATCAGTACTACTACACTAAGTAGTATCAATACCGTATATGGTATCGGTACCATTTTAGCATTATGTTTTGACAGTATCGGTACTGCCTCAGCAGTATGAATACTACTTCATTGTTTTGCGCTTTAGCATCGATATCTGTATCGATACTTCTTGAACAATATCGGTATTGTTCTAGTAGTATCAATACTACTATGCTTAAAAATCATTTTTGACTCGATTAAAGTTTGAAACTCTTAGTAAAAATTATTTCAAAAATATTTCCAGTATAGGACTCAAATTTTCAGTATAGTGGGGAGTAAAAATTGACATCTTAACTTTAAAGAATAATTTTATATATTTGAATGACTGAATCAAATATAATCTTAAAATTTGTAAAAACCAATTAACAATTTTGTTTGTATATCAAAATATCAAAGTGTTTTCAACAATCTCTCCCTTTTTGATATAACAAAAATTTAAAAACTTTTAAGATTTACTTGAAAAAAATACTCCCAAGTTTACTTGAAAAAATACTTCCCTTTACTTTAACATTTCTCTCCCTTTTTGTTAAATCAAAAAGATCCAATAAAGAATAATCAAGATATAGAATATAGATAAGAAGAACAAATGTATCAAATAGGTCAGTCAACATAATTAATATCCAAAATATAGTGGGCATGGTCATAATAAGTGGAAACATGGCTAAAAAATGTGAAATATGATAAACATAAATCTGATCATCCAAAACATAAAAGTATTACCAAGTCCAAAATATCAAAGGCTAAGAAATTCAAAGAAAAATGTAAGTTCAAAGTATAACATTGCAACACCAACGAAAAAGCAACTAGCAAAGCAAAATCATCAAGCATCCGACGAAGGATCAAGATCTAAAGGGGGTGCACAGAAAGAGGCAAAGTCTCGAGAAAGAGCATCGAGCCTATCCATCACCGTGTCCAATCATTCTTGGATGATGCATCGGGAATCCATATGCATTGCTTGCATCTCGAACACCTGAGTCCCCAAGGTAGAAAAGTGGGAGTCCATAAATGCAAACCTTAAATCTAATGTCTTCATCATGAATTGAAAATAGGGAGGCATCACACTACCAGCGCTAGGAGGCTCGTCGGGGACTCGATTTACGGGATCATCAACATCATGTAAAAAATCATCCTCCCGAGGTGGAGTTAGAGCTGGAATTGCTCGAGATGAACTAGCACCAAGTGTCTCTTTTGGTTTCATTTCCCAATTTTCTCCAACTCGAGCCCATCCTGACTTGCGGAGAGAGGTAAGATCGACTGGGGTACCCAAGTGGATAGCAGCATCAAGATCGACATTAAGACCGGATTTTATAAAGAAAATACTAAAAAGATAACCATAAATCAAATATTCAACCCTCTTAGAAGGAATATGATTCATAGTGTTCACTAGTTCATCGAAGATGATTTGAGCAAGATTAATTCTTTTATTTTATTGAAAATAATGGATCCACCATATGGTAATGCTTTAGAAAGATGAATACTTGCCTCCGGATGGTCGAAACCACCAAGAGATAATCAAGTGAATGAACCTCTCATGAAAGTTAATGACGCTTGTGCTCTTCCCTACTTCTAAAGATGAAGGGATTGTGTCTCGCTCGTTATCAATCCCGATCTTTTATAGACCAAAAGCACGGGCAATAGAGCCAGAATCAAGAGTAATGTATTCGCCCAAGAGATAGGAACGAATACTTTTTGTGTGAGTACGAGCTTCGTTTTGGACACAAACCGCATTAGAATAGAAAATACGGATGAGTTGGTGATAGACAACGTGTTTGACTTTGAACGTGCTGTCAAATTTCCAAGCTTTGAGAAGGGGTAGGTATTTAAAATTTATGGCGTTCATTGCCGAAATTGAAGGAAAACGCTCACCCCTAAGAGCATAAGATTCGAAATGGTTGGGATATCGTGAATAGAGATTGTGACGATTTGGTTCATTAAAAAATGAATTCACGATGGTCGTTTCATTTGGAATGAGAAGAGGATTTGATGGAGGATTTGACAGAGGATTGAGAGGTGGCTTAGCACGAGAGGAAGATGATCGAGGACGTTTGTGAGAAATGGTAAGTCGGGATAAAGGTAAAACCTGCAAAGAAAGACAATATAAATGTATGCAATCAATGAATCCCAAAACTCAATATGAGTCCACAATCCAAGGCATTATATAACTAAAATATAATGGGCCAAAAGAAGAATGGTGTTAAGAAAAAAAGTATATATATAAACAAACGTGTAAATAAGTATGAATTATTATTTTTTAAAATTTTGAATGTGAAGAAATTTGTTAAAAACAATGTATATTCTAGTGTATAAATACAAAATAAGTAAAGCCCATTCACTAATTTAAGCAAAAACTAACTAAAACTAGCTCTAAATTCAAAAAGAAAAAGTTTGGGTTTTAGAAGAAAAAAAATTACCTTGAAATAGTAGGATTGAGATGGAATTTGATGATGTATGCACAATTTTGATGATACTAGTAGGTTAGAATGATGAAAATAAATGCAAAAACTAACTCCAAAATGATGGGATGAAGTAATGTTTGAGAGGGAGTTGGAGGTTTTCGGATGGAATGGTAGAGAGTGGGGGAAGAAAATGTTATTTTTGGGCTTTATAAGCAAACCCGAGGGGGAGTATCGGTACTCCAATGGGAGTATCGATACTTCAAAGTAAAAATTTGATGGTATCGATACTGAGTATCGATACCCTATTAAGGCTGTAAGAATAGTATCGGTACTAGATGAACAATATCGATACTGACAAAGAATCGGTATTGGATGAACAATACCGATACCAAGTGTACATAATGGTTCAAAAATGTAACAAAAACTAATAGGATGCATATTTTAAAGCATAAATAGTGGTGTAGGCAACTCTAAATGGGCAAAGCAAATATGTTCAAGCAAATAAATATACATTTAAGTATAATTTGAACATATTATTAATTTTCATGAAAATTTTAAACTCCCCCTAACTAATAGCATAGAAGACATTAAAGAG